GGTGGGAGCCATGGAGGGGCTCCCGCTCCTTGCCACCGTATCCTTGTCCCCAGCTGTCAGCAGCTACTATGCTCAGCAGAACGAGGTGACTTCCACTGACAACCTGGACTTCCGCCACCACAGCTACAAGGACATGAGGCAGGTGAGAACCTCCGTGGGGTGGGATCATCCTTGGGGTGGGGTCATCTGTGGGGTGTCATCCTCTGTGCTGGTGGGCACCTCTGTAGGATGGGATCTTTCATCAGGTGGGATCATATGCGGTGGAACCTCTGTGGGGTGGGATCATCCATGAGGTGGAGCTCTTCATGGGATGGGCTCCTCTATGGTGGTGGGCACCAACCTGTTGGTGGGTATCTCTATGGGGTGGGAACCATGGGGTGGGATCCTCCAGTCCTCCATGGGCCAGGATTCTCCATAGGGTGGGCACCTCATGGTGGTGGTGGGCACCTCCATGGGGGGATGGCCTTGTCCCTCAATGCTGCTCCCACTCCCCCCTCCCATGCCCACAGCTGATGAAGGTGGTGAACGAGGAGTGTCCCACCATCACCCGCATCTACAACATTGGCAAGAGCTCACGGGGGCTGAAGATCTACGCCATGGAGGTCTCTGACAACCCAGGCGAGCACGAGACGGGTGAGGAGGGGCAGAATGGGGGGTGCAGGGGGTGCAGGAAGGGCTGCAGGCAGGTGTGACCATTCCCTGCCTGTCCCCTGGTGTCCCCTGCCCACAGGAGAGCCCGAGTTCCGCTACACGGCGGGGCTGCATGGCAACGAGGTGCTGGGCCGGGAGCTTCTGCTGCTGCTCCTGCAGTTCCTGTGCCGGGAGTTCCAGGCTGGGAACTCCCGTGTGCGGAACCTGGTCACCCAGACCCGCATCCACATCGTCCCCTCCCTCAACCCTGATGGCTACGAGCTGGCCAGCCAGGCGGTGAGGGAACAGGGGGAACAAGAAAGGGACAGGGGATGGGATGGTGGAATGGGATGGAAAGCAAGATGGGGATGACAGTGGGACAATACGATGGAACAGCAGGATGGGATGACAAGATGGTGGGATGGGACAGTGAGACAAGGAGTGAGGGGACAGGTTGGTGGAATGAGATAGCAGGATGGGAAGTGAGATGGCAACCCGGGGGGGGGGGGGGGGGCAGCACAGCCCCCAAGTCACACTGCTGCCCTGGGCCACCCACAGGGCTCAGAATTGGGCAACTGGGCACTAGGCCACTGGACAGAAGAGGGCTATGACCTCTTTGAGAACTTCCCTGACTTGGCGTCGGCACTGTGGGCAGCAGAGGAGAGAAAGCTGGTGCCTCACAAGTTCCCCAACCACCACATCCCCATCCCGGAGCACTACCTGGCTGAGGACACCATGGTGAGCCCCAGCCAGTGGCCCAGCAGCAGAGCTGATGGGGAGGGGGTGTCACATGTCATGATGTCACACACTGCCATGCCCCCCTGGACAGGTGGCAGTGGAGACACGGGCCATCATGGCATGGATGGACAAGAACCCCTTCGTGCTGGGAGCCAACCTGCAGGGAGGAGAGAAGCTGGTGTCCTACCCCTTTGATACAGCCCGGCCCCTCAGCGAGACCCTGGCAGCCGCCCCTCGCCCACCTGACTATGAGGATGACCACCCTGAACTACAGGAGACCCCCGACCACGCCATCTTCCGCTGGTTGGCCATCTCCTATGCCTCAGCCCACCTCACCATGAGCGAGACCTTCCGCGGGGGCTGCCACACACAGGACGTCACTGACGCCATGGGCATCGTGCAGGGGGCCAAGTGGCACCCCCGGGCTGGCAGTAAGTTGGGGGGGGGGGGGGTGACACAGGGTCTGCCCACCCCACACTGCCTACCTTGAGCAATCAGCTGGGTGGGCACCTGGGTGGTGGGAAGACAGATGGGCACCTGTTTCCCAGGTATGAATGACTTCAGCTACCTGCACACCAACTGCCTGGAGCTCTCTGTCTACTTGGGCTGTGACAAATTCCCCCATGAGAGTGAACTGCAGCAGGAGTGGGAGAACAACAAGGAGTCACTGCTGACCTTCATGGAACAGGTCTGGTGGTGGGGCTGACTGGGCAGCCACCTTGTCCCCCCCCGCCATGCTGCTCCTCCCATCCCCTCCCTTCTCCTCCCTCAGGTCCATCGAGGCATCAAGGGCTTGGTGAGGGACCAGCAAGGTGAACCCATCGCCAATGCCACCATTGTGGTGGGGGGCATCAACCACAATGTCAAGACAGGTAGGGCACAGGGCAATGTGGTGGCACCAGCACCACCTCCTGCCCACCCTCATGGTCCCCTTGCTGTCCACAGCTGCCAGCGGGGACTATTGGCGCATCCTGAACCCAGGCGAATACCGGGTCTGGGCCCGGGCCGAGGGCTACAACCCCAGCGTCAAGACCTGCAGCGTCTTCTATGACATTGGGGCCACCCAGTGTGACTTTGTCTTGGCACGATCCAACTGGAAACGCATCCGGGAGATCATGGCCATGAATGGGAACCGGCCCATCCGCCCCATGACACCCCGCGAGCGGCTG